CCCCAAAACCCCAAAACCCCAAAACCCCAAAGCATTTTAATGTTAATTTTGTTAAAAACTAAGTATATTTGATATATTAAAATATCTATCGTCATCAAAATATCCATTTAGTTCATCCATCTTGACCAAAATTGTTTGTAAATTCTACTTGCCTCTCAAGATCACCTTGAGACACACTAGGTCTGATTCTAGCTAAGGCTTAGAAGAAGTCTTCTGTAGTAACATCAGGAGCTCTAAGCTTAGATGGTTCAAGTTAAAATAATGTCATTTCTATTCCAGTTGGGTCTGAAGGATAAGTTGGGACCATTGACCCATCAGGATTTTATTTAAATTTGGTCGCAGTTTAGCATTTCCTGATTGGCATCATCAGTGCTTCCTTTACAACTACAGTAATATCAGAACCTGAATACCCTTCAGTAGCTTTTGCTAGCTCAATATAATCGTCTTCAGATAAGTTATTTGGTGTCTTTCCGATTCTAATCTTGAATTATGTTGATCTTGCATGAATATCTGGAAGAGGAATGTAAATTCTCTTTTCAAATCTTCTTCTAATAGCAGGATCTAACTCCCAAGGAACATTGCTAGCTCCAAGTACTAGTATTCCATCATTATCATTGCCAACACCTTACATTTGGACAAGGAACTCAGTCTTGATTCTTCTACTAGTCTCATTTTCTCCTTCACTTCTACTTCCACAGAGTGAATCGATTTCATCAATAAATATAATGGCAGGCTTATTTTCTCTAGCAAGCTTAAAAAGCTATTTAACTAATCTTTCAGATTCTCCAAGCCACTTTGATACAAGATCAGACGAGGAAATACTGAAGAAAGTACCATCTGCTTCAGTTGCACATGCTTTGGCAAGATAAGATTTACCAGTACCTGGGGGTCCATAAAGTAAAATACCTCTCCATGGTTTAATTTCACCTACAAACAATTGAGGGAACTTAGTTGGCAAAATGACTGCTTCTTGGAGTGATGTTTTAGCCTGATCTAATCCAGCAACATCTGACCACTTAACATTAGGCTTCTCTCTAACTATTGCTGATGATAAAGCATCTTATAACTTATTTTCCTCCTCTTAATTGCCATTTCCATTATCTTTAGGATCTCTATAAATGATTATAATTAGAATTTATCAAGTATATTTAGTCAAACTTACCTTTTTCTTTGAGCTTGACTAGCTCCACCACCGCCGTTAACAGCCTCATCATCCTTTGATCTCAGATACTCCTTAAGTTTCTCTGCTCTCTTCAAATAATCATTTGCCTTTTCCTTGAAAACATCTACGAGCCTCTTATTTTACTCATCTACATTTTCGATAGGTTAATTATAATCATATTTCAGAACATAATTCATAGATTATTAACAACTTAGACAGTCAGAATTGAATGATTAACGAAAGCCGAATTGATACATAAAGTTAGTGAAGACTTACACTTTATCATATAGGTGAAGATCTCAACTGCCTTAAGGTAGTTATCAACAGCTTCTTAGTAGTTACCGTTGTTGTCTGCCTGCGCAGCTATTTTACCATACATAGCCACTCTCTCACGATATGCTGAGAAGTCACTCATTTCTCTAATCTTTTTATTATTATTATTTTAAATTATTTTCCCGAATCTAAATTTCTAAATAGATATAGAATAAAGGGGTTTTGGGGTTTTGGGGTTTTGGGG